GGGGCGTGGCCGGGCCGTACCAAGTCGGGGGCGCGGCGCTGGGCGCGGAGCGCGGCGATTGGAGGACACGCGGGAGTCCTCGGAGGGCGTGGCGGGAGCCATACCAAAGGGCGGGGGGGATGTTGCATGAACTTGGCTCGGTGCCTTGCCCTGTCCCGGGCCCGCGGACTACGAGAGCCCTCAGGAAACGGGGGGTGGCGCGAGGGTGAAGGAATAATGGGCCTGGGGGGCGAGGGGCGCTGCCTAGCGGTTTGGATATGCGGGTCGTACCATGCCAAAGGGGAGGACTTCGGGTTTGAGGCCGTGACGTGGCTGGGTGCGCAGGGGACCACAACTCCCAGCGGCCCCAGGAGACGCCGTGAGTCCCAGCTGCGTGCCCGCCGGCCCCGCCTCAGGCTCCGCCCCTCCCTGCCCCAGGCTCCGCCCTGCCCCGCCTCCTCGGGGCTATTCATTGATTCCCTCATTCGCTCTAGTATTAAATGACTGCCTGTTCCGTTACTAGTAGCTGTGTAAGATTTCTTTTTTCAATCTCCGTTTCGTGAACGTGGATAATAGCAACCCCTAAATTGCTTACGAGGGATCGGTACTTGGCACAATGACGACTTAAATGTTTGCTTTTTTTCTTCTAATCATTATTTTTAGTGCCATTTCCAGTCCCATGCTGGGCAATGAATACACTCTGAGGACCAAAACGGGCCAGGTCCGTCACCGCCCCTGGTGCACGGGAGAGAACACGTCCTCGCAGTCCGTGATGTGTTAACTAGAACAAATGCGGGGGGGATGGTGGGGAGGGGAAGTGACCTTTGAGCCGCCCGCAATTCTACATAAGCTGGAAAAGGGTGCTAAGATGAAGGAGCGATAAGGACAGAAATCCTGAGAGTGTGAGAACAAGGGAGGCTGGAGCAGAGTGTTAGTGGGAAGGGGCCAGGTGCCACAAGCAGGTGCCACAAGCAGGTGCCACAAGCCGATGCCACAAGCCGGTGCCTGCCGCCCCGGGATGGAATTTGGATTTCAGTCCCATGTTGCTGGGGAGCCACAAAAGGTTTGGGGCAAGGGAGTGACATAGTCTCATTTACATTCTAAAACACATCATTCGTAGAATGCATAGAGTCATACACCAGCGTGTGCAAATCTGGAAGAAGCTGGGGTCCACAGCACGTCTGAGAAGAGAAGGCAGTGTGGGGAAGGGCGTGCAGCACGCCCGGGGGTGGAAAGGGGACTCGGTGTACTGTTTCAGACTATTTGGAATTCTTATCACATAGGTAAGTGTCGCCTATTGAAAAATAACTTTGGAAGTATTTAAAATGATTTTTAGTACACGTGCTGCCAAAGCGGGCACTTAAAGGCCCCTTCTCACTGCTGTGTTGAAAATTACACGGTAGAGCTGAAGGAAGCTGGAGGGCAGAGCCAGGCTGGGGCGATAAGCCAGGCGAGAGGCACAAAGGGATGGATCACAGGCAGGATGGCCGCAGTGGAGGTGGCCGTTTTCACAATTTATTTTCAAGCTGGAGCCCAAAGGTCTTGTGCAGAGAGTGAGAGAAAGAGGAGCGAAGGGTTCCAAGGTTTTTGCCTGTACAGAGGTGCCCTTTAGTGAAAGGGAGCTGGCTACAGAAGGGGCAGGTTGGGGACGCGGCGGGGCAGAAACGCCTACTTCTGTTTGTGATGCGTTAGGTTTGAGATGCTGACTAAGCGATGTAGATAGAGGAGTCTGGAGATAAAACGTAAGGAGTCCACAGTGTTTGAATCAAGAATGAACGAGATCACAAAGAGCACGTGTGCGGAGAGAGACTGGAATACTCCATCCCTTTAGAGGTCAGGGCCTTGAGGGGCCACCGGCAAATGAGACAGAGGAGTGACCAGTGAAATGTGAGAAGCCCTGTCCCAGGTCACACTTCCCATCCTTGCTTGCCCCACCCACTACGCTGCCTGCGCCAGGACTTCCCAGGGCCGACCCTGAGCCCCAGATCTGACCTAGACTGTGGCCAAGTGGGAGTCAGTGCTCTCCAGACCCGGACAGCAAGTCAGGTGTCAACGGGTACCTCCAGAGCCCTCACGATCACCCATGTAAGCAGGAAGGAGAAAGAACCACAGAGACAGAAGTCTTAATCTTCTTAAACGGTCACTTCTTAACCATTCTCCTTGGTCCAAGCCATCAAGGTCTCTTGTCTGGATGACAGTCTCCTAACTCTTGTCACCTTGTCTCTCATTCTGCTAAACACTCCAATGGCTTCCCGATGCCCTCAGAATTAAATACAAACTCCTCGCCACAGCCTCTAAGGCTCTGTACCAAGAGGCCCCTGCTTCCGTCTCCAGACCCATCACCTTTCATGCTCTCCTTCTTGGTTGATGCCTTCCCATCATTCAGATCCCAACAGGACACATGCATGGGGATGAATTCCCAGGACCGTAAAAGCACGGAGAAAGGTGTGCCAGGATATGCTCCAGCATGCACAAAATGAAAACATGTCAGAGCGTGAGATGACAATGTCGGCTGAAATTCTATTAGGAACACTGCAGTACAGCTCTCTGAAACCATCTCGCCTGCCCCAGTGTGCCAATCTGAAAGACACTGTCCATTCCATCTGTAAAACCTGCTGCCCAAGCTATCTGGCTATTGCGACTAAGCAATTCTGCTCCCACGTGGTAGGCTGCATACTTCCTGAGAAGTGGCTGTCTGTTACCAAACCTGTTTATGTCACTTGTCCCTAAATCAATGACTTAATCCTACCAAACTAATGAAATATTAATGCAAGAGAATTGTTTATATGCAAACCAAGCCGCCTGCCTTGGAAAGAATAAAGGCGAGCTGCTTAAAAAAAAAAAAAAAATCCCACCAAGTTAGGTGCAAGCAAAACGACTGTAAATGATTGAATGGAAAAGTTCATAAAAACCTGAGAAGACTCGGTCTTCGTTTGCTTCCTGTCTTTAGGGTCTCGAGTCACTGGAAATGATACATGATTCGCTGTGGTTCGTGGGTACAGTTTATACAAGAGTATGCTGTATGATAACTGAGTGATAAACGCTTGAAGAAAAAACCTTGGTCCTAGCTAGAGAGATGGGTGTCTGTTTAAATTCTTTTAGTCAAAATAAAACTTTAGAAGTGTTTAGATGGTCACTGACACTATTTGCTATATATTTCTAACTCCCCACCCGCCCAGCAATGATAAAGATTCCACTTCCTGACCCCATTATGGCCGAGTGGAGTCATGTGATTAATTCTGGCCAATGAGATCTGAGCAAAGGTGACATGTATGAATTCCATCTGGAATGTTTGATTACTCACGTGATACCAGAGCGCTCTAAGCTGTTCCCACGCTGCTGGCACGCTGTCTGAGCTCTCGGCCTGGGCTCCAGGGGACCCTCCACATGGGC